CACAGTTTAATCACAAGGAAGTACATGGCACCTACCAGTGACATCCTGATGGAAAGGAGGCAGCGACTTCCGGCGGTTGGTTCCCTTCAGACTGGAGCGAGACCAGGAGCGACGTGTGATTTGTGGGCTAATGGCAAGTGCCCTTGGGGACAAGTTAAATGAACTTGAAGTGAGGCCTTTCCTGGGACTACCTCTCCAGGGAGATATCCTCTTGGGACTGGGACTCCGGGCAGCTTTCTTGGGGCTGGGGCTAGGACAAGACCTTTTCCTGGTAGCCGCTCTGACTTTGTCATTGGGACTTGCTCTCACATTAGCCTTGTTTCCAGGCCCAGGACTAATAACTTTGTTTGGCTCTGAAAAGTGTTCAGGCTCCACTTTCTCCTCACTGGGGTCACATTCTAGAAGAAATACACATATCAGATAAAATCCACTGAAACACTAAAGTGGAGGGAATGACCTCTCATGGAATTTGGAATGGGAATATAGGGCGTTTCACCTATGCATCACTGTTTCAAACCCAGCCCAGGGTGGCAGTGACTGAAAGATATTACAATCTGATGGCTGTGTTACCTTTTTCATGGAACTGCCACAGAGTAAAAGTGTGGACCATTTGAGCCCCCTGTTCCCACCCGCTCCTTCAATTCATCTTTAGATCCAGCCTCTGCAGAGTCCAGGAAGGGAGGAAGAACAGGGCTGTAGAGATGAAGGACGACTGTGCTTTCCCAATCTGGCTCCGTAAGCAATCTCACATCTGGATTTGCAATCTAATACTGCAAATCCCCTCACACTCTGCTCATAGCTAATGTGAATGCTGTGATTATCCCTGTGTATGAAGCAGCTCTAGAAACCAAACTAACTCGACTGCTGAGAATGTGTCACATCACTATCATTTACCCAGGAAACGAATAATTAGTTCTTTGAAATAATACCTTACCTTGTGTCCCACCACCGTTCTTTCCATCTTCAACACCGGGGAGGTTCTGTTGGAGGGGATTCTGAGAAATAAACATTTTCCATATTTTAGTTCTACAAAACAGAAATCCATGTGGACACAAGGGGTGAGAAGAGTTGAATAGGCAGGACGCCTGCGTGGCTGATCCTCTAAAGCTTAAAAAGATGCATAATCAAATTATTTCTTTCCCCAACAATCAATCTCAAAGCCCATTGACAATGGCTAGGCAGCTGGTATGCTGCAACTGCTGCTTATTATGCGCAACATGATCAGTTCAGTGCCAACTTGTCCTTCTCCACATCCCCATCCGTTGACATCTTGTCTCATTTGCTTAGACCAGTGATGCTCCACCTTTCTCACCTAGCAATACATGAAGCACAGGATGACTGTGACTCCTTGATACCCTATTTGCAACCCCTTTATGGGTCGTGACTTCCAGACCAAGAGCCCATGGCTTAAGCTGCAAGCTCTTTGGGACAGGGACTGTCTTTTATTACATGTTTCTGTGCAGAACCTAGCACATAGGGGCCCTAATCCCAGACAGGGGCTTCTAGGCACTACTGCTATACAAAGATATAACAAAAATCCATCTTCAAGCGGGGGCAGGGGCACAGTCCGACTCCTCACCTGCAGCTGCGTTTCCTGTAGCCAGGCCTCTTCGGTCCTGCAACACCAAACACACATGGGGTAATAACCTGGCCCAAGCTCCTGACTGCTGGTGGCCACACGAGGCTTCTCTGGCCTGTTTGTTACTCCAGGACACACGTCGTGTCAGCCAGTGCGGGATGCCGGGCACGGGGCGCCACCCCGTCCCGCCGGGCAGCTCGGGGGCATGAGGAGGCCGCCGCCTCTGGGGGACAGCTAGACCCGGACCCCGGCTGGCCAGGGGCGGCTGCGGACCCCAGTGGAGGAGGGGGAGGGGGAGGGGTTACACCCCATCTAGCGAGGGGCAGCACCGCGGGGAGGGGCGGGGTGACCCCGGGGCGGGGATAGGCGGTTAGCTCTGCGGCGGCCACCCCGGAGCCCGCGGAAGGGAAGACGGGGGACACTGCGGCCGCCAGCCCCCGGGGGTTACACTGC